CACCCCGGCGTGGAGACCCCGCTGCCCCTGCGCAGGGAACTGAGGAAATCACAAGCCGGTGAGGTCAAGTTTTGTTGGGGTTTTTTTTCTCGTTGGGGTGGGGGTTTTTTGTTTTGTTTTGTTTGTTTTGGTTTGGTTTTTTTAATCAAGCACACACACTGACAGGACTATTGCCGTATCAGAGGAGGGCTTTACTTAGAAATGATTGATCAGCTGTAAAAAAGAGAAGTAGAAGCTGTGGCATACTCTATCCCGCAGGACAATGGAGACCTGATAAAACAGGAGCTGAATTATTTATTTTTTTAAAGCCTATTTTAGGGCCTATTCTTGGTGTTAAACTGCAGATTCAAAACTGTTCTTGCCCTCTCTGACAGCTGGGGAGGTTGAAGGTCTTGAATCGTGTCTGAAAACAGACTTGTGTTCTGGTGTGTGCAGTGGCTGCTTGAGGACAGTGGATGTGATTTACACGTTTTTAAAAATTAATCTTGGAGAATTTTTTTTGCTTGAGTTACATAAGAAACTTTTCTTATATAAACTAAACATAATTTGTCTAATATGGCCCATCTTTAAATTTATTCACAACCTAGGCTATCTCCTCTGTTCTTAATGTCAGCAGTCTTTTATCTGAACTAAATATTCCTAGATACCTCCTAAGTACTTTATAAAGCATTTATAAAATGTTTGGAAGTCAGTGAAGTTAGTAGCAGATTAACATCTAAACATGTTGAATACTGCAGAGAGTAATGTCTCAAACTGTGTTTATAAGGTTCTCTTCTAATCTTTCCCCTCATACTTATCTAAAATGTGAGCCTCTGGCTAATCACAAAGCTGGGATACATTACCTTTGGGTCTTTTTGTCTGGTTTATGATCACTGTTAGTTTGCATTTAGTCTTTTATGGATGAAGAAATAGATACAATCTTGCTAAATTACAAGTTAATGTGCTCAGGTAATTTATCTGAATTGCAATTTGGCATGCTGGGTCTCAATTTCCAAGAGTGAATGATGCTAACACTAATGTCTAAGAAAAAATGCTGTCTGGAAAATTCCATTTCTTTCAAGGACTGGACAGCAGGCTGACAGCGAGGGAAAATACTAGCTACAGAAGCAGATAAGTTTTCCAGAAGAGTGAATGCTCATGAGAGGCTTTTGGTACTCTTCTGGACACAGAAGGAAATGAGTCAGGATGTTTTGCATATATGGTGTTGTTGGCAAGTGGGAGAGGAAGAGTTTTCAGCAAGTGACTCTGTAATTCCAAAGGGACAGAAATTCCACTATTAGATAAATGTCCTGACAGCCTATCTGGAAATTTAAGAGCTCGCCCAAACTTTTCTTTGGCTTCTGCAGAAGGTGGGTGATATTATGTGGAAGGTCTTAAATTCAGTGTAATGTGCAAGTGCCTTTCACAGAAAATAAAAACATCTTTGGAGTAATTGTTTTGGAGGCTGTCATTACATACGACTGTGAAGCTACTGTGTTCATGCTTGCATGCTTTCCAACTGACATGGACTTAATTTCATTTCAGAAATGGAGAATCCCGAAGTGGCTGTGAGCAGCTGCAGTGCTCAGGATGATGAAAATCTTTGCAGCTACAAACGGCACCTGTCAATATCACCAAAGGGGCTTTTGGAAGACCAGCTTAGAAGGAAGTTAAAATTCTTCTTCATGAACCCATGTGAGAAATTCTGGGCCCGGGGCAGGAAACCTTGGAAACTTGGGATTCAGCTACTCAAAATAGCAATGGTTACTATTCAGGTGAGTAACTAGGGAAGCAGGGACTCTTCTTAGCCCACAGGAATTCAGATGAGTGCAGGTGACAAATGCTATTCTTGGTGTGGTACAGAGACAGGAAGAGGATAGACTGCAAAACTATCTTAGTTGTGTACATGTAGCTTAGATCTCAGGTGGCATAATTTTCTCCTAAAACTATTGACTGAAAGATAGCTTTCCTAAGAGCGAAGATGAAAGGAACCATGCTTAAGGGCTCTACTTGACTTTTTACTTTGTTTTTTTTCTTTCCCTTTTTCCTCCCCAACCCCAAAGGATGGCATCCTTACACAGCTGTTTCCCCCAATACCTTCTTGATGCCGAGTGTGTTTGAGAGAAGGAACAGTCACTTGAATTTCAATATCACAGTGATAAGAACCTGAAATTGGTAGCTTTTTCAGGGTATTTGCTTGTTCCTTGCATATGGTATACAAACTCTTGTACTGAAAAAAAACAGAAATTTTGCCCCACTCTTCTTCTCACCCAGACTTGCACCATAGATTTCACAGAACACATTTATCTGCCGCCTGAAATGGAACTGTTTGTCTCAAAGGTCTATGGTTAGGGAGGAAGAAGATCTTTCATAAAATCTTTCTGTCATCTCAGATGATGATCCTTCAGTTACCTGCATGTGATTGATTGACATTTATGGTGGTGTCAGTGCTATGACAATACAAGTGTGGAGGTGAATGTTTTCCATGGTTGCATGAATGGTGGGACAAATTGCAAAATAATATTTTTTTTTGTATTTATCTGGCAGTATGTTTATATCCCTTTTGTACCACTTTAGTTTGAAATGTATCATCTTCCTTTGATTTTTCATCTGTCCCATTTTGCAATTAAAAATAAAATTTCATGGCAGAAGAAGCTAAGTAAGGAAGAAACTAATACTGATTCAGCCTTTTCAGAGAAAATCTGCCAGTAGGTAATTTAGTCTTAGCACTGTTGATTTGGTGGTGTATTCCTGTGTGCCTAGCACACTGAGCTTGCCCACAGAGCATTTTAGTATCTCTGTAACTGAGTTATCCTTATCAAAACCTACACATCATTGTGGCCATAAAACTAATCTGTAGACTACTGATTCAGATTTATCTCTGATGAGTTTCTTCACAATACTCCTGACACTAGATTTGAAACAATAGTCACTAAAGAGAATTGCGAGCTCCCACAAACAATATATCGCATTGTTCTAGAAACCTTTTTCAGCCTAAACAGTAGCTAGCAGGGTTTGATGCTAACTTTTCATGAGCAATTACAATATATTTTTTAACAGCTTTGGAGGTTATCCTGTTACAAGCACGGTTTTGATTAGTTATTCTCAAAGCACCTTTCATCCAAACCTGAGGGAGGGATGTTTGTTTTTCTGAGTTGTCCTCAATTTGCCTTTTGTGTGCTGGAGTAAGGACTTGAAAGTGGAGTCTGGTTAAGTCCTGTCCTGCCTTTTTGGCTGAGATACACTGATACTTCCCAAGGCAAGTTATATTACTGTCAGGCTGAACTAACAATGCATGTGTAACAGTATATGGGTAGCTTGAATTTGAGATGGTATCCTTTTCTTTGTAAAAATGCAAGTCCTTGGCCAAGATGCTGGTAAACATGTTAAAGGAACATTCTTGAAATCCATTGTTTCCTAAAGTCAAACTTTCTTTTGACCAGCTGTGAAATGGAGTAGCTTGCATGTAAGTGCCGTGTCTACCACTGCAATGAAAGACACGGCAGGACAAGATTCGCATGTTAATCCAGAAGTGAACTTTGTCTTTGAACAGGAACTTTCACGTCTTTTTCAGCTGGTGGTTTTTGGATTGAGCAATCAAATGGTGGTTGCCTTCAAAGAAGAGAACACTGTTGCATTCAAACATATCTTCTTGAAAGGATACATGGACAGAATGGATGATACCTATGCTGTATACACACAAACAGATGTCTATGACCAGATATTCTTTGCAATAAACCAGGTAAGGATTGTCACTGCTATGTATATAATACATATGCTCTTCACCTGGGTACCTTTTCTTCTTCCACCTTCCCTAATGGTGTCTGAAGATGAACCTCTGTGCCAGTTGCTTAAGACTAGAGTGTCAACTTGTTCAGGTTTTCTGTTGTTGCCAGAGCCTTGTGCTTGTGGTGACATCCTTAAAGCTAATCAGTATACTAATTCTGCACTAAATACAGGCTTTGGATTTGAGCCAGAGTTTTTTGCAAATAACAAATTAAGCTTTCTAGTAAGGATTGTAAAGAGAAAAAAATAATAAGCAAAAAGGTATTTAGATCCAAATCCTGCACTTAGTGTTTTTGTCAAATACCTTAAAGTATTTTGAGGCTTCAGCTGTAGTGTGTTGTAGGTTTCTGAGTTCCTTAGGTGACCTTTTAAATAAAAAAAAAAGAGGGTGATAGCACAGATCCAAACACTTCTGGGTTTTTTTGTTGTTCTTGATTTTTGTGGGGTTTTTTTTGTTTTTCAGAGACTAACAGTTTTGGTGCCATCTAAGTTGGTTTATCTGTTTGTTCTGAACTTTAGTACTTACAGCTGCCCAACATTTCTGTTGGAAACCATGCTTATGAGAAGAGGGGAGCAGAAGAGACAGCTCTGGCAGTGTGTCAGCAGTTCTACAAGCGAGGAACCATTTGTCCTGGAAATGATACCTTTGATATAGACCCAGAGATTGTGACTGGTAATGAACCTCATCTATTGTATCAGTTCTTTGGGAAGAGGCACCCTACATTTATGATGAGTATAAACATCCTGTATTGTGTAGTCCTATAAAATTATCTATATTGAACTTACTACCAGCCAAAACTGGCAAGAAAACTGCTGTGTAACTAACCTCTAGCCCTCACCTCACTGTTACCTCACTGAGGTAACAGTCCTTTATGTCTACTGCCACAAAACAAGGGATGAGCTGTTAGCACTGATGGCCATCTAATAGAAGTATTTGGGGCTAACTTCAGGAGCCTTCCCTATTCATTCATGACAAATAACTTGGCTGGTTCAGGGAAGCCCATATATTTGTCAGCTGACTTCCCAAATGACTCCTCACTTCAGCATGCTATCTTGCCTGGTACAGTCAACAGCTCTTTCCAGCCTCGGGAGTGGGAAAGACAGATTACAGTTAAAAGAGCGTGATAACCCGTGAGATGTTGTTGTGAGTACTTATCCATTGCAGACTGCTTGTACATTGAGCCAGTGACACCATTAGACAACACAACAGTGGGAAAGCACAATTTGAATTTCACTCTGGATTTCCACAGGTGAGAAGGAGTTGGCACCTCCTGTATTGGGGTATTTGTGCATTTTCTCTATGAAAAGCTAATAAAAAGCTCTCTTGCAGACTGGTGACAGTGCAGCTCATGTTCAATCTGAAGGCAATCAACCTCCAGACCGTTCGTCACCACGAGCTCCCCGACTGTTACGATTTCACTCTGACGGTACGTGGAACCTGCCTCGTGTCTTTCTTTACAAAACGAGAAATCGTTCGTGCTGGTTTACCACGCACAGTCAGTGCAGGTGTTCTCTGGAGAGTATTGGGCACCACTGACTGGTCCCCAGTGGTGTCTGGATTACTCTGTCATGGCTTAGTGTACCCTGCAGATGACTGCCAGTTGAGACTGCGGGAGGTTAACTTTGAGCATTTGTGTTGTGGTCCTGAAGCACTTGCTTGACTTACAGCCTTTTGTGCTCTAATCCATCTGATGTATAACAAAAGCATGAACCTCTTCTCTTTAGGGAGGTGTTCCTAGGAAAGGTTGTTTTCAGATCATAGGGGAATGAGGCTGTAGTTTAAAATAATTTCACCTATTATCTTGTTGATCAAGCAATTTGTGGCACATAAATGGTTCACCAGATTTGCCTTTCACTTATTTGAATAAACTGGAATTACCTTAAGCTTAAACAAATTTTGTAATTTCTCCCCTGGGAGAATTATACTGAATCATTATGCAATCTTAGCAATACAGTATGCTACGTATCTAATAGTTTAACTTTAAAAGACATGCACTTTTTTTTTTTTTTGTTAATACAGATAGTGTTTGATAATAAAGCACATAGTGGAAGAATTAAAATAAGTCTAGACAACGACATAGCAATCAGGGAATGTAAAGACTGGCACGTTTCTGGATCAAGTAAGTGTCATAAACATGTTCAAATTTTCATGCTAAACTTTTGCCACACTAGCACAGTGTTGGTTAACCTTTTTCTTTACTAAATGTTGAAGCACTGTTGACATAAATTCTCTAACAGGTGCGCTTTAAATCCTGATTTTCTGAGGAACTGTTGTTCTTCAGCCTCTGATCTGAAATCCTTGTAAGCCATCCACCCCATTACTTTCCTTAGAAGTTCTCAAACTTTGCACCATTTATACTGTCAAACCAAAATTTTTCCACACCTCCTTCTGGCTTTGGCTACTGAACTGAGGTTGCTCATCGCTTAAGGTAGAGCTGTGAACTGTTCTTCTAGCACCAGGCAACAGAAGGACACATGATAGCGGTGGAAAGTTGAAACTGATTCACTCTTATTTCAGGACTTTGCACCAGGAAAGATAAGGAAGCACTGTTTCTAAGGCATGCTAGAGTGGAATGGCTAGAAATGCTTGTTACCGCTGCTTAAATGTTGTTTGGCGCGTATTTGGGTGTAACCGAGATGCACAGTACGGTTAAATAATCTATCTGAAATAGTTATAAGAGCACTCTTTGTTGGAAGCTATTTGGTCTGGTCACAACATTGTCTGAGATCTTTTTTGATTAGAGAAAATAATCTCTTTGAAAGTCAGAAGCTTTCCAGGACTCTCAATTCCACTTAGTTTTTTTAATTTTTTGCTGAAGTAAGCAACAGGATGAATGTGGTCCATTTTTCCACTTTGCCACTTTCCCCTTTGCTATACCTACATTAGGAACTGAAGAGCTGGTAGTGAAAAAAGATGTTTTTCGATCCAGACTGGAATTAATTTGGGGGAATTTAATGAGATGCATCACAGAGTACAAAACACACCAGTCATGCAAACGCATATTCCACTAAACAATCTTACCGATAAACTAGCTTTGCTAGCTGCTGTGTTATAAATGCACACCAGGTGGCAAGCTACCTGTAACAGATTGCTAGTGCAGCAGTACAAGAAGGTTCTGATACCAGGCTTCTGTAATAATCCACATTTGATAGCTATGTAGATTGCCTCTATAACAGTTTTCAAAATAATCTCCTGGAGTACCCTGTATTATTTTCTGAAAGCCAAGGAAAAATACAAAGGCAATGATTGCAATTGGACAACAAAAAGTTGTTGCTGTTCTGGACTACACTGCAAAACCAACTTAAATGGCAACAGTACATGTGTTAGTGACTTTGGTATAAGCAAGAGCTAGGTGGGCTTTTTCTGAGTCGTGAAGTCAACTAGAACTTCAGTATCCCATTTTGGAGGATTGCTACATCTTCTTGCACATTTAGCATTATTTTATTTCATTTTTTTTCTCAAACAATCACTCTTTTAGCATTAAAAATCTAATCCTTTTACTATCTTACGTAGTTTCAGCTGTATGATAGATATAAAAACCAAAGAGGCCTAGTGGTAGATTTGGTGCAAAAGTTGCCCTTAGTTGATCAAGAATGTGAATTTTAGTAACATAAGAGATGGAGAACTCATGTCTAGCTCAATGTTGGTCTTGGCTAGCTGAGCAGCAGTGCAAATTATCTGCACTTCTCTAGGACAGAAAACCTATCTGATGATAGCCAAATACTGGTCTGGAAGAGAAGACAGATACTGTAAAGTTCCTAAGTTCCTGGGTTGTTTTGTTTTTGTTTTTTTTTTGTTTGACAAGTTCTGTCACTCTGAAGGCCATTCCAGTGCTTGTAAAATAGACAACTCCCACCTCTAATTCTGCAGGGCTGTTAAGAAGCAGTCGTGCTCTGGTATATTTTTGATGTGATATCAACCTCCCTAAATTAACTGAAGTGGTGTCTGTAGTGACAAATGCACTTGTGTCTCTCATGAAAATATGTCAGATAAACTTTTGTGGGGAAAAATGCCAAGTTTATTCTTAATTCAGTTGTGTAAACACAGTTAACATCCAATCTTGATTCTTACTTCAGTAGTCAAGATGGTCAACAAGATGAAATTATTATAAACGTGTACATTTTTGTTCTTGCAGTACAGAAGAACACTCATTACATGATGATCTTTGATGCTTTTGTTATATTGACTTGTCTGGCCTCATTGATCCTTTGCACACGATCAGTGGTTAAAGGAATTCGGCTCCAAAGGGTGGGTATAACTCTTTCCTTGGAAAGTCTTCATGTATTGTGTCTCTGATTGATTAACTTTTTTCTTTCCTCTTTTCCCCTAGGAATTTGTAAGCTTTTTCCAATATTACTATAAGAAAGAAGTATCTTTCAGTGATCAAATGGAATTTGTCAATGGGTGGTACATCCTGATTATGGTTAGTGATGTCTTAACTATTGTTGGATCAACTCTAAAGATGGAGATACAAGCCAAGGTAGGCTTTTTACACTGTCAAGTGGAAGCAAAACTGATTGTTTCTGTCCCAGCCATGTTTAAATCTCTTGGAGGACTTTAGGCTGGCTATATTTGATTCTGAGTGGCATGAAATTTTAAAACTCTTATCTTCTTTGGAATTATAACTGACGTGCTGTTTCCAGTTGTGAGATTTAAAAACTCCAAATACCACTAGATATTATACTTCTAATTATCTTTGCTCCTTTGTGACTCCAAGGAATAAAATGAACTTAATCTCTGAAATTTTAAGACTGTTGACTTGCTCTCTTCCCCATTTAGGACCCCCTTATACTTGCTTATTTGAAGGATTTTTAATTTTTTTTTTTTCAATTTAGCATTTAACTTTCTGTTCCCCATTCAACAAGTGTTTAAATAGCACAGAGACTCTGTCCTTAAACATCACTTTGCTGTTTTCCCATCTTCTGGTTTCCAGCATGTACATAACAGTCAGCCACAGCCAGGTTCTAGGCCTGAAATTTCTAAAATAAACTTGATATAGAAAAAGCACTCTAATATTTAAATAATGTTGTTCTTCACCAAATCTGTAGCAGACTTTGAAGTGTGACATTGCAACACAACAGACTTTGGACAGTAGTGATGAAAGGATGGGTCTGAAATCCATCTGGTGACAGCTTGACTATCGTAAACACCCTGTACAAATTGGCCTATCTTACCTTAGGAACTATAAACTCAGTTCTTAGGAGTAGAAAGAAACTATGAGGAAGTTAGCTAAGATAAGAACTAACTTTGGAAGAAGCAAAGATGAGAACAAGATCGAAGTAAGATCTTGCATTTGGGATTCCAGTATCTTATCTATATAAATATATTTATATATGTTTCTTTTCTAAAAGAGTATTTTACTAAAACTCTTCTCTACAGGTACATTTCGCTTCATTTTGCAAGCCTTGTGCACCATAATAGCAAGATCTTGTTCCATGTTACTGTGTCAAAGTTAATGGCTGAATAACAAGTTCACATTAAAGTAGCCCAAATTTTTTTTTTTTTTTTTGGTCAGGCTGTAAATGAATTATAGTAATATAAAAGATTAGCCAACTCATAGAGGAATAAAAAAAGAAAATAGTGAAAACTTCCTGTTCATGCAAGCTGTCATGATCCATTTCACAGCAGAGCTGCAGTTCAGGGACCAGGGTATATGCTAACTTGGATGAAAACAGGCCAGTATGTATAGGTGGAAAAGAACAGTGAAGTGCCAATAAAATATAAATGAAGTTCTGGTTAGAATTAATTAGAAGCTAATTACTCTTCTCCCTGATAACTTCCTATACCTCACAGCTCCTGGCTACCTAAGAAGATCCTCCTTAGTATTTATCTGAGCTCTGCTGATAAGTCATGCTTTTTTAAAAAAACCTGCTTTGTCTGTGTACTGGAAGAACCTTCTTTTCTCTGTGGTTCTAAAGTCACATCTACATTGTCTGTCAGGATCACTGGTGAGATTCCCAAGCTGCTCTTGGGGAATCTGTCAGCACAGGTTCCAGAGCAGGTTTGGAAGCAGCATCAAAATGTTGGCAGTGCCACTCTGCAGGTCTTAGTGAGCCAGGTACAGAGGGGGTGTCCCTGCACGGGCAGTGCAGCTGCACTCTTGGCCGTGCACATGAAGCTTGTCTTGTCAGAATCTATTTTACAAGCAGCCATATGTAAAGGCACATGGAATAGGTTACATTTGAAAATGTCCTTGCTCTTTGGTGAGACTTCTGCTCTCTAATGCATACTGCCCCAAACTAATTTTTAATGGGAGAGATTGCCAAGGAAAACAGTGTTTCCTAACAGATCTTTGTAGATCTGTTAGTTGAACCTGTCAGTTGTTATAATACTTGGGGTTTTTTTTCTTTCTTTCTTGTTTTTTCTTCTTTTTTTTTAGAGCCTGACAAGTTATGATGTCTGTAGCATACTTCTAGGAACATCCACTATGCTTGTGTGGCTTGGAGTCATTCGCTACCTAGGTTTCTTTCAGAAGTATAATGTAAGGATCTCCTGGGATCTTCGTGCTGTTGGTATTTATTCTGTTTGTTGCTATAAGAGGACTGGGAGAAACGCCTGGTTGAATTCTAACTGTTTGCATTGCTTTATGCAGCTTCTCATCCTAACACTGCGAGCAGCATTACCCAATGTAATGAGGTTCTGCTGTTGTGCTGCTATGATCTACCTGGGCTATTGTTTCTGTGGATGGATTGTACTGGGACCATACCATGTGAAGGTAATACACTTAACATGAAAAAAGACAACTTGAATAACAGAATGGACTCCAAACAAATGAGAGATTACTACTGTTGTCTTCCAAGTTTCCATGTCAAGGCTTTCCTTAATATAAAAATAGTGCATCTTCAACATGGTGCTGCTCTGTTTGAGGAGTATGACTTCCATGACTCAATCAGACTTTCCTTGAGTTGTGAAAGCTCTGAGTCAGGAGTGGAAGCTGCCATGACTCCAAATCACATGCTGGTATTTTGAAAAATAATTTTCATTTTGCAGAACACCAGTGGCAAACTAAAGCTTGGGAGACTTTGTCCTTATCCCTTTTAAAAGTGAAATTGGCTTATCTGAATTGAATGTGTATGTGTACAGGAGGTGACAAACTTCACTCGTTCCTCGAATGTTTTACTGTTTGCACCTTGTCATACCCTGGGCGTACAAAGAGATCTGAGGCATCCAGTCATCAGCTGTGTATCGTCTTTGTGCTATGTACAGTCTTTAGATCCAAATAAAGTGGATATGGGTGTCCTTGTCTTCTTCCCTCCTCTCTAGTTTCGCTCTCTGAACATGGTTTCCGAATGCCTTTTTTCATTGATCAATGGAGATGACATGTTTGCCACCTTTGCAAAAATGCAGCAGAAAAGTTACTTGGTTTGGTTATTCAGAAATACCTCTACTCCTTCATCAGTCTGTTCATCTATATGGTGCTGAGCCTCTTCATTGCACTCATTACAGATACGTATGAAACTGTCAAGGTAAGCATGGACTCTTACTCTTCATTTGGAATAAAATTGCAAGAATGGTGCTATTGAGACTCTCATCTCCCTCAATATTTTGACTTGAAGTGCATGCCAATTTAAAGAATAAATATAATGGCTACTTTTGAGTGTAGAGTGATGATGAGAGGGTTTTAATCCCTCCCTACTTTTTCTTAAAAGGCTATCTGATTTCCTGCTCCAATGGAAGCTAAGTATCTTTTAAAAAGCAGTAATTTAATATTCAGTTCTGTGAATCTTCTAATTTCAGACTTGACCAATGTCTGAAAAGCAGTCCGGGGATGATTTGGGTTCTTGTATGTTTTATTCTTGTTAAAGGTTTAACTAAATACCAATTTTTAGCACTACCAGCAAGATGGCTTTCCGGAGACAGAACTTCAGAGATTTGTATCACAGTGCAAAGACTTACCAAACTCCGGCAGGTACAGGCTAGAGGAGGAGAGTTCTGCATCACTTTTCTGTTGTTGTAATGGTATGTACCTATATTAAAATTAAACATTAAGGTATGTGCAAAAGCAACACACCACAAATTGTCCCCAGTGTAATGTTTATGAAGAGTACTTACATTTTTGGGGGTGAAGGGGGAAAAAAACCCCACAAAAAATCCCAAACTATTTCTAATGCTCTAGAATGGAGCACTTTAGTGAAACGTCTGCAGCCAACAAACTCCTTGGGAGAGGTGAGGGAACTTTTAAATTAAGAATCACTTAGCATATGAAAAATAGTACAGAAAGTTAAATAATATATACAGTAACTTGGGAACCCTGTATGCATAACGTACAAGCGTAAACATTTCCTGTACTCACTGCAATAGGTAAGGCTTATGGAACTCATTCAGTGTCTGTTTATCCCCTTTTAATGATATTTGTGCAGTAAGGTGTCCTAACTTAAATGGTAGTAGGCCTGAAACTTAGGGAGAAAATCAGCTCACCAAGGTTTTAAGACAGCATGCAGTTTAAGATACTATCACAGCACTTGGAAAAGTATTGCCTCACTTCCACTATGGAGAGCTTAATGCTTCAGTTATTTGAAGTTTTGTTTCTCTACGAATATTGATTGCAGGATATGTGGTTTATATTTAACCTGGCTGGCAGCAACTCTGAGTCTTGCTTGCTGAAGGATCACTTGGTTGGGGAGCCTTAAAATACTTGCAGCTTGATTAAAAGGGTCAAAGGCATTTGCAGCTCCATGGTATTGGGCTCTTCTGGTGTGTTACATTGTTATAAGCCAGATAGAATATACTTATGGGGGAGAGGAGATGGGGACATATTTCAGAGCAGGGGGACAATAGAGCCTGCAGTGAGCCAGGCCAGAGCAGAGAGCTGCTGTTCTGAGCCAGTGCCTTACTGGAGATGAAAGCGTGGGATGAAGCAAAGCAGGGCATCTTGCTCCCGGGTAAAGGGCATGGGCATGTTAATATTTCCTTTTCTGCACACACCTCAGTTTAACCAGGCAAGAAACCCAACAGGAGGCAGGACGGGGTGGAGATGTAATACTTTTCTCACCAACTGTGAGGCAGGGATCAGGACTCCAGAAGAGCATTCAAAAAGGAAAACTTGGTTACTCTCAAGCAACTTCTTCAGCAGCACCCTGGACTCAAATGGAGCTATAGGCATTAAAGTGCCTCGTTTCAGAGCCTTGTTTCCTAAACGGATTACCTACTCTTTTAAGGATTTTTTCCTGGTGCCAAATGTCTTGATTGACATGCATGCCTCATACCATGCATGTTAGTGTTACAAACTGTTTCTTTTTTTTTTTCTTCAATCTGGAAATAGTGTGTTTCTTCCTCTAGATCAGGGGCTGACTTTGCAGTTGCCTGGAAATACTGGACATTGCTCCATTAGCTCTGTACTGTTTTACTTTGAAACAAATGATCTGTAGGAGTAAGTATCTGGAGAGAGATGTTGTGTTACCAGTTCTATGGCTTCCACTCCTTAAATAGTCATATGGTCATAGAGGACACACAAGGCTTCTCTTAATTCTTTTACATGTTCAAAATGTTTTATGGTGGTTCATAGCAGTTTCTTATCAGTGTATGTGAAATTAGTAATTAAATAGTTCACATAATTTTTAAAGACTCCTTGTACAATGAAACTATTATTTTGATGCACGCACCTGACAACTTTTTCCCTCTCTCCTGTCCAGGTTGTAGTGAACATATTTAATGGATTGTGGGAGTGTATCATGGAGACTTCAAAGCAGCACACATTGCAAGAGAACTGGACAGTGGAGCTGATGGAAAACCTTATACCTAAAGCCTGAATTTGCTTTTCTTGAAAAATAGTGTAAGCCTGTGGCAGAAGCTTATGATAAACTTAGTCTTTTTGATTAGAAACTCTCACTGCTAGTTCAGGGGTTTGGCAGGGTTTGGTTTTTTATTAGCTTTGTTCTGTTTGTTTCCTCAGTCAAATTGCTCTAGAATGCAAAGGGCATTAAAAAGCTGTCTGTGTTCAGAGACTTGTCTAGTTTATGTGAGTAGACTAGAAATGCAGTGACTTTCAACTATAAGTAGAAATAGTGCTGGACAACTGCAACTTTGAACACCAACCTAGCCCTCAACACTGCAGGCATCATCTAGCTATGGCTGCCCCAACACTGAATGAATGAAAGCTCATTTTAGAGCCCCCAGCAATTTTTGTTTGTCTGCACTTATAGTAAAAATAAACTAAAAACATGAAAGTTGGTGTCATTTGTTTCTGGAGACATTACAGTTAATCGATGTACAAGCTGTTCAAATATGTCTGAGTGCATAAACTAAATATTTCTAGAAATATAAGTACCACTTGAAATAAGTGGCAGTCTCTTCTCAGAGAGGCCAGGGATATGCCAGGCCAGAAGTGAAGTTTGAGGGGTGAGTTGAGTGGAGAAATGTAGATGTTCTCCTGTATCCAGCGATGGGTAGGATCAGTTACAGTCCTGAGCTTCACAGTGTGCTGACCTTACATTTTTAAATGAAAAGTCAGACAAAAGCACTTTCAAAACATCTATTTTTTAATTTGAAATCTTCCTCTGGTACACAAGTCTGTAAACCTGAAGTCTAATCTAAGCTCAGTACACAGAAGATACGGCTCTGAGAGTTGTGTCTCTGCATGCTTTAAAAACTGGATGTTTCCTACCAACCAAATAACCTGGTGCCGTCAGTGGCTGCCTGAAAAATATAAAAGTTCAGTTTTGACAACTTAGTTTATATACTTTGTTGGTTGTGATACCATTTGATGGATGCCTTATTTTCTACAGTCTGTTCAGTCTGGGAGCAGAATAGAAAACCAAAGGGAAACATATTTTAGATAACTTGCATTTGTGAGCAACATTCCTGTAGCTGTGTGTGACAATGTATAATGCTGTGCACAAAGGTGGAAGACACTAAACATGTTCTGTCTGAATGTTTACACATTGTAAATGTGCTACAATAAACACTTCCAGCTGCAGTAAGTATTGGGTGTGTCAGTATTCATCCTAAGACTAAATATGTTGCCAGGATAATATAGGAGGGTTTTTAAATTATTTTTTTTTCCATATGCAATTTCTGGCATGAAACAGTGTGCGGAGTGTGTGAACTTGCATTTCCTGTAGTCAGGGTAGTTCCTGTGGACCCTGGTGAGGACCTGTTCCCAGCTGATCCTGTTTAACTGCTTTTCAGAGTTTGCCTTAGAAATAAATAAGCAAGTATTAAACCTTACACTAAGAATGCACCTGTACATTACATGAAGTTCAAATTCAGCAAAAGCAAACCAAATGCAAGGTGTAACACAACAGATTAATCACAGTATTTGAAAGTTTCCTGCATTGAGGTCCTTGTCTTCCAACAGTCACCTAAAACTGAAGACTTTTGAAGCTTTTCAAGGAGATTCAAGGCAATCTTGCCTCAAAAAGCAAATATTAAGCGACCATATTTTCTGTTGACACATTAAAACTCCTTATGGATCTTCAACAACACACAATTTATAATGTGCACATCACTGTTGTATAAAATAGGAAGGAATTCTGACAAGGATGGCAAGTGCTTTAAGATCACTGAAATGCAGAAGGTGGACTTCTTAGCAAGGCTTTTTCATACAGAGTTAAGACAAAGCTGAGATTAATAATTTGCTTGAAATGCAGGTGCATTTTGTAAATGGCTGTGGATACTTTGTCCATACAGTTACGAGGCAAGTAACTGATTTAATTTAGAAACAGGGCAGAGCATATGCTTTATTACTGTTAACTTATGAAACTGGAAATGAATTTCAACAAAATTTGACAGAGCTATAAAATATAAAATTCTTACAAAGTATTATAGAGGCAGGGAGAAATTGTGTTAATAGAAGCCTGTAGTATGAGCATAAGGCATGGAAAGCTACAATGGGTGACCCCAAAGCAAGAAAATATATTGCATATAGATTCTTTCAGTTTCTAATAGGAGAAATCTTCCATTGAAGACTGGTTTCTGTTGCCTGAAGGGTGAACTTTGCTGTGAAGCTTGTTTTGCAGTGAAATCCCTGTTAGATTCTTTAATTAATGACCTGTGCTTGTGCTACATCTAAAAAGTCAATCAACTGAGACACAGAAATTCAGTGGAAAACCATGCCCTGTTACTTCTGCTGGACTACACAGTGCTTAATTTAGCATTGCTGACAGTTGTGTGGGTTTGGGGAGGAAAGTGTTAATGAAAGGCAGCTTGCCTTCAGTGATGGGCAGAGTCACAGTGTGAAGCCAGAGGGGTGGGCTATCTAAAAGTAGGAGAAGGATGTAAAGCAAAGGATAGGATGGAGTAGGAGGAAAAGAAGAGACAACTGCTTATAAAGTTAGCAGAGCAGCAGTTGCATATTTCTGGCCATGAGTGCAGGCTGTTACATGGGGGAAAGAAGAACAGTACCCTGAAAGGTCACTGGCTTACACCTGCTCAAAATGTCCAGTTTTGACTAGAAAAATAAATGCTGCCAATATTGGGTTGTTTTTTTGGGTTGGTTTGTTTGTTTGTTTTTTAAGAAAATCAGACACTCAAACATGTATTGTTTGCCTTGGTAGTGCTGCTGTCAATCTAAATGCTTGCTCTTCTGACCTACATGATTCTTGGTGTTCAGGATCTTCAACTGCCCGAGTATTTTGCTCACCTGAGAAGAAGCAAGTCAGTGCTGTTTTCTAGCCTACTGCCTGTATCTGAGATGAAGTGTAGCTCTGCCAGGAGATCTGTGGCTACTGCTGTTGTGTATGTGCTGGGGCTTTTTACTCTTATTTTGTGTCAATATATGGTGTGCTGGTTATGGCCTTGAAGACCCAATAAGTGTGACAGTTATTCTAAAAAAACCTTTTGACTTTAACAGTATCAGTGATCTCAACATTAGCAATGCTAGTAACACATGTAATGCTGCATCCTGGCGACACGGGTATCTTTATACTGATACAATCAAGCAGGCACAGATAGAACTGTAAAATGCAGGTGAGGAGAGCAAAGAAGCAGATAAAGTGTTAGATAAACTCATTATGCTTAAAAACACCATCCTAAGGAAAACAGGGCTTTCAGTGCTGTCCAAGAAGGTGTAAGAGAGTTCTGTTGTTCTGATTCTCACTGGGATCTGTAAAGAGTTGTCTGAAAAGTACTGATAGTATTTCCTCATGAAAATAGGCTGCAGGGTGCTAAACTTGGTAACAGCTGTTTTCATACCAAGGCTCATTTCAATGTCAATGTTTTGCATATGCTCAGGTAGTGAGAACTACTTGTTTTCATCAGAGCTCAGATCTCTTAACAGAATGAAGTTACACTGATGGGAAGAGAGAGGTGGGGACCACACTTGTTTCTAAATACCAGTTTGCATGTTGGAGTGAAGCATGTTCTCCAGGGAAGGTAAGCAGTGTGTGTGCAAAAGAGGAAGAAATGAAATTCAGATACACTCATACCTTTACAATAAAAAAAATGTGTAAAGGCATAATCTACCTCTGGCAGATGGGGGGAAAACCAGATGCTGCTGTAAAAACCCAAACCTGTGATTGCATCTGTCAGGGGCATCTTCCTGTCCAAGGCACTTGCTAGTGCCAGATGCTTCAGAGGACACCTGAAGAAAACTTTCACGCATGTGCTGACATAATGCTCTTGCAGCTAATTTTGAGTAACTGCACATAGATGTGTGTGTGTGGGCTTTTGTTCCTTTTTCTCTCCTTCTTCCTTAAACAGCGTGACTGTGACCGAGCACAGGATCATCCCAGAGCGTTACGCAAGGGTCCTACCCTGCCCAAACCCACTGTGCGGGCAGGTAAAGCTCACAGGTGCACGGAGCCCCTGTAAGTCTGTGTTCTGCTCTGAGGGCCCCAGTTTGGAGGAACCACGTCAGGCCACCTCCTCAGAGGAGCTGAGCACCTCTTCAGCTGCAGAACGACCAGCTCTGCAGTAGCTAATCCAACCCGACAGTCGCCCCTGCATGTCGTCTCCTTGCCCACAGCAGCAG